GCTGAGCTCCACTAAATTCTATTCCAGTAATTCTTGTCTGGGAATTGTCTCTTATTTTTTGCTGGAACCCAAGACGAGAGGTTTCACTGAAGTCCTTAACAAATATTCTTGTGTTCAGGGTTTCGCAGCTGAAAACAGAATTCCTTCCACTCCTGAGCGTGTCATTTGTCTCTGAGAACAGCGTGGTGGCAGCTGTAAGTGTCTTTATTTTCTCCTTGTAGAGCGTTGTAGTGTTTTGGAGAGTGAGAAAAACACCATGAGTTGTGAAGTTAGCGATAAGCAAGATCTTCCATGGTGTCGAGCTTTACATTCTGCAGTTAACAACAGCAGAACAAGAGAAACTCTGGGTCTTCACATGCTCTCACGGTGTGTGGTTGCAGGGCCATGATTGCTGCCCCATGCTTTTTAACTGTGATGACCGTGGCTTGCTGACCTTCGTTTCGAAACTGGACATTCCAAAACAGAGCATCCAGCGCAATATTTCTGCTATGGAGCGCTTCCGAAATATGGATAAAAGAGCCACTACAGAAGATCGTAACACTACCCTGGAGACTCTGCACCAAAACAGTATAACGTGAGTGTCTTGGCTGTCAAAGTGAGGGCAAGGAGTGCTCCTCATCGCTTTGGTTTCACAGGATGTACCACAAACCTGTGAGAGCTCAGATTTGCCATACCAGATGGGTGTAGCTGCTATCCCATATCCATTCCAGCCTTTCACTAACACCTGTGTGTTTCTGGGAACTGTGGAAGCTGGCAAAGTTAATTATTAACATTGCATGCATGCTATTCCTGTTAGCTCGTGTTTAATGTGTTCTGTAACTTGAATGCAGTTTATCTTATCAAATATGTAAAGAATTCACAAGAGGTTGGTAGTACTGCAAAACACAGTTAGGAGAATTCACCTGGAACAGAAATTCACATATCAACCTCTTATTTCTGATATTATTTCTCTATTAATTTATTCATGAAAAAGGATTGATTCAAGCTAATTGAGTAAAATATTCTTACATTTAAAAAGTGTGTGAGCCTAGAAGATGCTAATATTTCTGAAGCAAACTATCTTTATCCGAGGAAAATGTTTAGTCTTCAGCCATTGAGTGATAAAGGCTTTCTGCTTATTTTCCTGAAACACCATGCCAAAAATCTAGTATAAGCTCTGCTATACTTCTGTCTCCCTTTGGAAGAGTAGGAGTTGATTTCAGCCCAAACTTTTTGGCTCTCTGGGATGGGTGTCTGCCTTACAGCCCTCGCTCTCTGCTTTCAGCCAGGTGTCTATTTATGAGATAGACAAACGGGACTGTCGTAAGTTCTGCACCACTGGCATTGATGGAGCGATGACCATCTGGGACTTCAAGGTATGCTTTTACTGCTGTGTTTATGTGAACTGCTTGCAGTGATTACTTTTTCAATCTCAAGCATCAGTTTCTGGGGTGCAGCCCTAATTTGAGCTTTGCTAGCAGGTAATAGGAAATACCATGGAATACCATGAGCATTAGTGAACTCCATGAGCAAGGCAGAGCCAGGATCCAGCTTAAATGCAAAGATGTTTTGCCTAGCAGATGGTACTGATCCAGACTTATTTTTTTAATGAAATTGCTTGCTGTACCTGCAGTAATCCCACTAGTTCTTTGCTCCTCCAACCTGTGCTTAGCCACAGTTGGGCTGTAGAACAGTTTTTAATATGACAAGGCTCAGTGTCTCTCCTTGTTCCCATCCCTTTGGATTCTGTTCACTGTCTTTCTGCAGAACATGCCCCTGCCATCTCTTAATTAACTTATCAGGGTAGTACATAGTTACCTCAAACAATTAAAAAATACAATAAGCACTGTAGTGAAAACCTCCAACACTGGCTTTTGGGACAATCATTATTTACATTATATCGTGCCAGAATGCTCTGATGGGGGTAGAGGCCAAATGAGAAACTGAGGTCATGTGTGAACTGTTATAATGCTATTTCAGCAGGGAGGGGGTGGAACTGTTGGTCCACGTGTGTGAGCTGGAAATGAATGCTTTAGTGCTATCTGGCTCTTGAATAAGAGTCATCTCAAGCCTTGTGTATTGCTCCTCTCTTCTTAACATCAGCCTTTACAACGAGTTATTTAACACTGCATACTCAGCACGTTGTGATTATCGTTTTCTCTCTTCCAAGACCTTAGAGTCCTCTATTCAAGGTCTACGAATCATGTAAAGATGGATTTCCAGCATCTAGCAGGACAAACTGCTTGACAGAACGCAGCTCCCACGTCTGCACAAACCTGAGGAGGGAGGAGAAAGGTGGAATATTTGGAAACACTGAGAAAGAACGGCTTGGCAGATTTTCTTTTGAATCTAAATTTGGTGAATTGTGTTGGTTTCAAAATCAGCTGTGATTGTTCTTTTTTTTTTTTTTTTTTTTTAATTTTTATTTTTTGGTTGGTTGTTTCATTCCATTCTTTACCAAAGCTGCTCCTTAAGTAGTTTATTGCAGGAAGTTATGAATCACTAACTTAAAAGGGGAATTTTATGTAAATTGTCTGCTAGAAATAATAATAATAATAAAAAAAAGAAAAACAGATCCTTTGTGTTTTGATGCCCATTAAGAGTGATTAAAAAGGGGATGTTGTAGGAATGATCTCAGAGAGCATAGAAATCCTGACCTGGTATTTTATGGCCTCAGAACAGGAAGAGTTCATCTTTACTTTGCTGCTTAAAGTTGGCAGATGAAGACCTGGAGCTGTGATGGTCTGGATATGAAGACTGAGCTGGGCTTCATTCAAGGGTTGTTCCTTTGAGGTGATGATTTTGGAGGAGGAATAGTTCTGTCCTGCTGACTCTGAGTTCTGTCTGCCTGGCATTCAGAATGGTAATGACAGCAAATTAACCTGAATGCCTTTTCCATTGTCTGTGTAGTGGGTCATAGTTTTAGATGACCAGAATTATCTGTGGTTGCCTTTTAGGATTTGTACAAAGCCTTTTCACAGCACAGGGTGCAGTGTGGAAGGTTACGTGTGGACAGTAAGGCAGAAATCCAGATCTTAGGGACAACAAATGAAAAGCAAATCACTCTGTAAGCCTGTGACATTACACAGGTCTGCATGTCGTGTTGGAGCTGAGTGTCCTTAGAATTCTGTTTGTAATGACCAGTGGAGTAACAAAGCACTTTTAACAGGAGTAACAGCAAATACTGGTTCTGCACTGATCCTTTGTCTCCAGGTGAGTCCTCTGAAGTTCATTTCTGAGCCTGGGTAGCATGCTGAGGCCTTTGCACATAACTCACTTTATTCATATGGTCTAATTAAGGTTCACTGTACCACTGCCTTGAGCTTGGTTCAGGCTGTGCTCGGGAGGGGGATTTTCTGGCTCAAGGCATTGCTTTATAAGGTCTGAGACCTTGTCATTTCTGTTGAAAATGCAGAAGTGTGTTAAAAAAAAAAAACAACCCAGTGAGTAAATGTCACCACTTCCTCTGGAACAAGAGTGCTGCATCATCTCCTGCTCATTTCTCAGCTCTGAGTGACTGAGAAGGAAGGGCAGAATGCAGAGCTGGCAACTGTTCTGAAAGCAAACTTTGTGCCTTATGGAGGTGCATCGTTTTCAGGTGCAATGTTTGTTGCATGCAGAGCACTTTTTTGTCAGTTCCTTCTGCTTTTCTTTCATCTTCCACCTTTTCCCCTGGCAGTCATGCATAGCTTTGCAATTTCCTCTCCCTTATAAACGTAGATTAACAACTGCTTACTCAGCTTGCAGCCTGGTGATTGCTGTGTGCAGTGACTTGGGTAGCACTGGGTTTATCAGCTAGAATGGAGTTAAATGTCTTCTGGATCAAAGTGATGCTGCCAGCCGTGGAGGATTAACAGAGGAGCCTGGCTTTGGCTTTGTTCCTCTCTGCAGACACATTTCTTCTGAAGTTGCTTTTGAAAGTGTGGTGTTTAAAAAGTACTATCTACATTCTGAAATACATGGCACAAATAACATAAAAGGAGACAGGAAAAAAGCATCTACTGAGAGAGTGGAGAAAATGGACCTCTAAATGTCGCCTTGTTCTGCATGAAAGAGCCTGAAAAGGTAAAAGGAGCATTTGCTCCATGCAGTGACACTGGCACTGGGTGAAACTGCCCTGGGTTACTGAGAGAGAAACGTGTGCACCAGCAATCAGATCAAAACCAGGCTGGAGATACTGATGTCCGAGAAGGGCAGAGTGAGGGGAATATAAACAACCACCACTCAAAGCATAGCTGAGCTTAAATCTGCACTGTGTGCAGGTGGGGAGAGCTGTGCACCTCCAGCACTGTCTGACAGCTGATGCCTCCCATATCAGTGCAGTGATGGTTCATCTCCAGCCTTTCTCAGAGCCCCCGAGCTCTCTGAGAGCAGCAGTGGGCGTGGGAGGAACTTTCCCTGTAAGGAAATGAAGGGAAGGCAGCTAGGGAATTGATCCAGGCCTTGAGCTGGGTTGGTCCATCACCCCAGCACTGGTTTCCTGCTCCATGGGCAGCTGAGCCCTGGAGAAACCCAAGCGATGTGCTCACTGCTTCCAACTGGCAGAGGCACGGGTACCCACAGTGACAGCTCCAGCCCTCCTGCAGCGGGGAAACCCACGGGACCCTGCTCTCCATGGGCAATGCTGTGATCAGCACGAGGGGTGATGCATCCTTCTGTGCATCACTTCACCTTGCTCACTGCAGGGCCTTGAAAACGAAGCCCTCCCGGCGCTTACAATCAGGAGTTGTGCTTCTGCAGGGAAAGGGATGCAAACCAGATGGCTGTGAAGCAGGAGGAAGAAGGAGGGACGCATGGGGTGAGCGTGGGCTCAGTGGGGCGCGAAACCAGCAGGCATCCCTGCTCAGCTCCGGGCACAGCGGGGTCCCGTGGCCACGGAGGCGGTGCTGCCCCACGGATGGGCCCCTCTTCGTTGGTGCTTCCCGGTGCTGGGGAGGCCTGCTGCTGGCAGCACACAAGGGCAGGGCGGCTGCCGAGCTGCTCTGCGCTCCCCCAACGCCCACGTAAGGAAGTGGTTGCATTTCTCAGAGAGGAAAAGGGAAGTGGAGCTGCCTCGGCGGGGCAGCCAGCAGCTCTCAGTGCTCACTGCGCTCTGCCCCGGCTTGGCTGTTCGTGTCGACTGCCCAGAGTCCACGAACTGCCCTGCCCTGCTCTGCGAGGTAAGGAGTGGGAGAGCGGGCTGTGGGGCACCCAGCTCCACGCTGCCAAAAGCTGGAAGGGGCGAAACCCCGTTAGGATGGGGTTTGGGATGGAGGTGGGCTCACTGCCTGTGGCTTTGTCGCTGTGTTTGGGATGCTTATTTCCACGGTTGGGTGTTGCTCTCGTGGCTCTGAGGCTGAAGAGCTGCTGGCAGTGCCTGGGGCTGTGGTGCCCATGGAGCTGGAGCTGTGGGCCCTCTCCTTGGGGCACTGCTCCATATGAGGTCAGCGCTGCTCTGTTCTCTTAGGAGTGGTGATGCCTTCCTAAGGGCCATGCTGGCTCTGGGTGCACCAACACAGGGGTGCAGTGGGGATGGGTGTCCCCTGCAGCAGGCTGCTGACAGCCCGCAGCACCACAAGGAGCAGGAGGGCATGCAGGGCTCTGTGCTTTGGCCTCAGCGCTGGATGGAGGCTTTGGGGTGACGGGGATGTCCCAGGGGGTCTCTGCTCTGATGACTGCACCAAAGGCACAGCACAACTGAACCCAGCGCTGCTCCACTCGGCCCCCACCTGGGTTCGGTTATCTGGGTTCGGTTATCTGGGTTCGGTTATCTCCTCTGAGCTCCCACGGCTCTGAGCTCAGGGCTGGTGGTGGCGATAAGCGAACGGCCCCGGGCTCACTCCCACCTACTTCTCCCAAACCCCTCCCCCTCTTTTCAGACCCTCAGCACAGGGGCAGAGGGGCTGAGCGGGGCCGCGGTGCCCCCCCTGCAGCGCTGTGCCCGGGGCAGCAGCGTGAGGGCTGCAGGCAGACGGAACGGAGCTCGCAGTGCTGACCGCTCCCCAAGCAGCCAAAAAAGTTCCTTTTTTTGTTGTTGTTGTTTGCACCGAACGCTTCCGCTCCCGCTTTGACGGCTGCGACAGAGCCCTTCCCCGCGGGGTGGGGGTGAGCACGAAGCGCGTGGAGGGAAAGCAAACAGCTCCCAGCACCCAACCCGACCCCAAAAAGCACCGCCGCTGCCCCACGGCGCATTTCATGCCCAGAACTGTCTGAGCAGGAGATCGATGCCGCTCACCCCGGTGGCGGTGGTACCACAGCGCACATCGTTCCGCTCCACATCTCTGCAGTGCATCCCCACGCATCGATTTTACCCCGCGCTGCCCAATCATAGGGTCACAGCACGCTGGGCTTGGAAGGGACCTCAAAGCCCCCCCAACCCCACCCCCGGCCGTGGGCTGCTTGCCCCCCACCGGCTCGGGCTGCCCAGGGCCTTCAATCCACTCCTCCCCCAGCCCCACACCCGCAAGGGCTGTGCTGGGCACCCGCTCCCTTTCCAGCTCCGCGGTGCCGCCCCGTCCCGCAGCGCTCTGGCAGCAGCAGGGGAAGGGATTACTCATGGATGGGATGGAGGCGTCTCCGCCGCCAGGCTTTGGCTCTTCCTAAATGAGAGCTGGGAAGGAGGGAGCCCTGAGCGCCTCCGGCCCCGCATGGTTTGTAGGGACAGCCGGAGGGAGGGGATGCGCCTTTGGGGGAGCGATGGGTGGTGGTGGCAGCGGGGTCCCGGGACACCCACCCAGGGCCGGGGTGCCGACGTGGGTAGGAAGTCCCTGGAAGCCGCCCCATGGCAGCTTCCTGCATCGCGGTGTTATCGGTGCACTCACGGCTTCCTCCTGCCTCTCCCTGCCCCAGGGCTGGGGGGATCAGGGTGGCCATAGATGGTGCTCTTGGGACGTGGCACCCATCGGGATGTGGCACACGGCTGTGGGATGCTCAGCATGAGGTGCCTGGCCCTGAGACAGCACCGTCCCCTCCGACATCTCACCCCTCTGTTCCTCAGAGCAGCCATCAGTTTCACTGGGGCAGGCTCTGAGCTCAGAGCCCCCAGGGATACCAACAAGGGGTTTGTGGAGATGGAAAAAGGGTCCCTTATTGGGTTTGTCCCCACAGCCACACGTCCCAACAACGTTCTCATCCTCCCAGCCCGCACGCCATGTCCTACCACAGCTTCCTGCTGGAGCCCATCAGCTGCCATGCCTGGAATAAGGACCGGACCCGTAAGTACCCGAGCCCCAAACCCCTACAGACAGCCCAAACCACTGACAGCATAATTTTGGGGTGGGCTTTGCATCCCTGCCAGGACCGACTGTCCTCACTGCAGCGATGTTCCCTGCATGGGGCAGGTCCTGCCATGGAGCTGAGTTTGAGGCAGTGGGTATTGCCATGTAGGTGGGTTTTGGGGTCAGCTTAGGATATGTTCCACTTCCTTGCTCACACCCCCTCAGTCCCACTGCAGGGGAAGGAGTGGAGCAGAGCTGGTGATTCATGGCCGATGGCATTTCCCGGCCACGTATGGGGGATGTGGGAGAGAACAAAAAGGGCTTTCTGTGATGGGGCCGCTGTGCAGGGCAGGATGGGGCCAGCGGGTGCCAAACACCCACAGCCATCCCAACCCATCCCTCCCAGCAGAGCCCTGGGACTGGGGCACAGGGGATGTTGAGCTGTGGGGTTTGGGGGTTTGCCCTTTCTGCCCAGCACACTTTGCAGCACAGCCCAGCACCAGGATGGGTCCCTTCTGTGCCATCGGGACCCTGGGCATGGGAAGGGCTTTGTGTGTGACAGGGATGCATCGAGCCTTGGCTGACCCTGTAAGTGTGGGGTCATCAGAACTGCTTTCACCCCACAGAGATCGCGCTCTGCCCCAATAACCACGAGGTGCACATCTACCGCAAGGACGGGGCCAAGTGGAGCAAGGTGCACGAGCTGAAGGAGCACAACGGGCAGGTGACAGGTGAGTGCCTGGGGATGGATGGGGACGTAAGTGGCTGTGCCCTGAGGTTGATCCCAACCCCACTCGGTGACACTGGTGGCCTTGGGACAGGAGTTGTGGGGGAGAGAGCGGTTTGTGTCCAATGTTCCTGGTCCCAATTCAGTGTGTCAGGAGGCACCCAAGGATGGGATGGGAAATAGCGAGAGGGATGGGATGAGAAGATTGTAGAAGTGTTGGAGAGAAGAGAAGGACTTGGGGGCAGAGAGCAGCCACATCTCCACCTTCAGATGGCCTCCACCCCCTTGTGCCCTGTCCCCATCTACACGGCTCCCCCCACATCACTGCTCACCCCCCTCTGCCTTCCAGGCATTGACTGGGCTCCTGAGAGCAACCGCCTGGTGACGTGCGGGACCGACCGCAATGCCTACGTCTGGACCCTGAAGGGCAACATCTGGAAACCCACCCTGGTCATCCTGAGGATCAACCGGGCCGCCCGCTGTGTTAAGTGGTCCCCCAAGGAGAACAAGTTTGCTGTGGGCAGCGGCTCCCGGCTCATCTCCATCTGCTACTTTGAGCAGGAGAACGACTGGTGAGCGGCCTTGAGGCCACCATCCTGCACTGGGTGGGGATGGATGGAGGGGAAGAGGGTGTATGCGTGGGGAGATGGATGGTTGGATGGATNGGGGGGGGGGGGGGGGGGGGGGGGGGGGGGGGGGGGGGGTGGATGGATGTTGGACTGGAGGTAGAGGCGAGATAGGGGAGTCAGAGAGGAGATGGAAGAACCTGATGGAGAGGTGGAGAGAGGTGCTGCATGACCCAACAGCTGGGGACACAGCACTGTCCCCATGGCCTGGCTGCTGACACAGGCTGCTAACCAAGGGCAGTTCCTGGAGGCCCCAGCAACTCCCAGACAGCGGTCTGAGAGCCTCGCAGTGGTGCCTGGGGGCTTCGGGGGTACCGACACTCCTCTTCCTGCAGGTGGGTGTGCAAGCACATCAAGAAGCCCATCCGCTCCACAGTGCTCAGCCTGGACTGGCATCCCAACAACGTTCTGCTGGCCGCCGGCTCCTGCGACTTCAAGTGCCGGTGAGGGGAAAACAGGGAACCCCAGGGATAGCACAGGGCTGTATGGGGCGAGCAGGGATGGAGCTTGCTTCATGGTGGTCTCCTCCCTCTCAGGATCTTCTCAGCCTACATCAAGGAGGTGGAGGAGCGGCCCAGCCCCACGCCATGGGGCTCCAAGATGCCCTTTGGGGAGCTGATGTTTGAGTCGAGCAGCAGCTGTGGGTGGGTGCACAGCATCTGCTTCTCAGCCAGCGGCAACCGCGTGGCCTGGGTGAGCCACGACAGCACCCTCTGCCTCGCCGATGCCAACAAGAAGATGGCGTAAGGAGGGCTGGGGCTGCAGGGAGGATCTGGGGGGAACCTGGGAAAGCTTTTGGGATGGGGTGAGCTACGTAGCGATTTGTGGGAGGGCAGCTGCTTTTCTGTAGCCTGGATGGTCCCCAAAATGATGCATGGGTGGAGCTGGGGTGGGGGTGAAGGGCTGAGTGGAGCTGGGTGCAGGAGGAGGCACAGCCTCTCCTTGCAGCATCACAGCCCCACTCCCACATTGTGAGCCGCACCGGGCTCAGCAGGGCCTCAGCTCACTGCTCATGCTTTATCCTGCCTTTCAGCGTTGCCTCCCTCTGCACTGAGACCCTTCCCCTCCTGGCCGTCACCTTCATCACTGAGAGCAGCCTGGTGGCCGCGGTGAGTTGGGCTGGGCTGAGGGTGGGCACCACACTGGGTGATTCTGAGCAGGACCACCACTTCCCCCCCAGGGCCATGACTGCTACCCCATGCTGTTCACCTATGAGGAGGGCCCAGGCACGCTGAGCTTTGGGGGGAAGCTGGACGTCCCCAAGCAGAGCTCCCAGCGTGGCCTCACTGCCCGTGAGCGCTTCCAGAACCTGGATAAGAAGGCGAGCTCCGACATGGCCAACGCTGCGCTGGATACGGTGCACAAGAACAGCATCAGGTATTAATGGGGCGTCCGTGGGGGGGTCAGGGGGGTCCAGGGCTGCAGTCTGACCTCCCACCCCTGTGCTCCACAGCCAGATCTCCGTGCTGGTGGGGGGCAAAGCCAACTGCTCACAGTTCTGCACCACAGGGATGGACGGTGGCATGAGCATCTGGGATGTCAAGGTGAGGCCCTCCTGAGACCCCCGACCACATCAGTCCCTCCTTAGCCCCAGCTCAGTGTAATTGATGCCCAGAACGATGCTCATCCTGCCCTGGGGTCCCCCAGTCTGGGTTCTGCACTGTTCTGCTCACCCTGGGAAGTAAAAAAGCAGTTGGTGAACAATTTCTGTTTCAGAGCCTGGAGTCAGCGCTGAAGGATCTCAGAATCAAATGAAGGACACAGCCAGGAGGTCCCGGCTGCAGCTGCCCCTGCTCTGCTGCTCCACTGCTGCACACCCTTCGCCCCGTGCTCCCGGCTGCCAGCCAGCCCTGGGCTGCTCTAACACAGAGATAAAGATGGTTGTTGTTGTTGTTTGTTTGTTTTTTACTATTTTTGTTACCACCCTAACCGATGCTGGTCATACATTGCTTTATGAATTCAATAATAAAGTAGATTTTCCCATGTAAACCCAATATTTTTTTCTTCTTTTTTTTCTTTAAGCATTTTAATGTGAATACGTGTGATTACAGCATGTTGCAGGGTTTAATTGCACGGGCTCAGGTTAACACAGCTCCTGGCAACACTCCTCCATGTGGAGCAGCCCTTACACTGACCACAACCCCAGGAGGGATCCTTGCTGGCAGCACTGGGATGGTGACATTTGAGTCACCCCGTAATTCTGAGCTCTGGTCCATTCTCCCATAATGGAGCTGCATTCTACCAGGAAAAGATTTTTACATGTGACCCACCCCAGCACACCTGAACCAGCCTCTTTCTCCCTTCCCTCCATGTGTGGCCCCAGCCACCTCTTTTTGCTCCAAGGCCCACCCCAAATTTCCACCTGATCCTCTGGCTCCACCTCAGTTCTTGATAAGGCTGAGAACTGCTGGGGTCCCACCACAAGGCACCAGTTTGAAGCATCTCTTGCCAGCCCAGCTGACAGGGCAGCAGCACAGGGACGGCCTTCTGACACACTGACTGAGCTCAACAGCAGCCTGAAGGTAATTGTTTTCTCCTCTCTGCTAACCAGATTGTGAAAGATGTCCATCAGAGAACAGCAGAAAAAGCTTTTTGCCTTCAGGCTGCAGGTGCTGACAGGGCTCCTGAACCCTGAGCCAAACTCAACATCATAAACAGCAGAGAGAAGCAGCAAAGCAACAGACACAAATCACTGCAACACCACACTGCTGCTGCACTGTGTGTTTTAGCAGTTCACTTACACGAGGACATAGCAGTTCTGATAATTTACATTTTAATCAGCCAAATATACAAGTTTTGTTGTTTTTCCTTTTTTTTTCCTTAACTTCATCGAGGTGGGTTTGTTTTTTTTCCCCATCTGGGTCTGGGTCTGATACAATTCATGATATCTATTTTCCTTTAAACAAAGGATAATGTGGTTAAAAACTGGCACTATCCCTAATCAGGTGAAGAAAAAAAAATAATGAAGAGGAGGGAAAAGGGTGAGACTGGCTGCGAGAAAGGAGGGGTGAGAATGGGAAGGAACAGAACACTCCAGATGTCCATGAAGTCAGGCTCCCAGATTACACTGCAACACCCTGCAGTAAAAGTTTAAGGGCCGTCTGCCCAAAAGAATTCCACAGATACGTTATCCTTTGGGTTTTCACGAGCAAGTCAAAGCTCCCCACCCCGTGTGCCCCACCCCACAATGACCCCACAATCTATTTTCTTGCAATCTAATATTTGAAGCATCTCCCCTCCCACACAGCTCCCTCCCACCCTGCCTCCCCCCACCCCCTTGTCTATGAGTTCTTAAACCTAAAAACAGCAAAAACATTCAGGTTTTCAAACTGTTACAGAGAATTGCTGTTCAGCACAGTTTTGCACCGAGGATAGCAGCTGCCCCTAACCCCAAATGGAAATTGTGCCAGGATGAAGACAAAACACACTGTCAGTGTCTCTTGGAGGTGAAGGTGACTTCGATGCCGCAGTACACCCTACGTGGCATCTATGGTATGCAACACGACAGAGGTCCTGGCAGGCACCAGGCACGGTTTCCTGGCGTTTCCTCCTCTTGCATGTCCTGTGCTTACTTGTTAAGGGATAGTGACTGCAGTCTTTTACCTGCCATGGCCGCTTCATCTTTTGCTGGAGGAGGAAAAGAACAGAGGTGTCATCGTTTTACAGTGCACATCAGGGACTGCTGGTAGCCTAATAGCTGCAGAAATTAAAATCTTGCTACCTACACTGAAATAACTGAGGAAAAATTCTGACCCTCCCCACTAATCTCTGGTAGGGTCCTTCCACACTTCACAGGAGCAGCCCTCCCTACACTTTCCTTATGCTTCTCTTCAGGCTTCTGCAAATTACCCTGATTCTGCTGCATAAATTTCCCTGTGGAAGTCACTAAGAACACATTCATTAGAGTTCTGTCTCACATCTATCAGAGCCAAAGAGGAAATCCAGGCAGGGGAAGACTGCTGCAAATTTCCTGTGCAGTTTGTATCCCCAGCACGCAATGCAGATAAATCACACCCAGCACAAGAAACTCAATAAATCCCCAAATACGAGCAAGTGTTGCCTGGGAGGCTGAGCTTGCAGATACAGATGTCAGAGCAGTTCCCTTCTTTCCCTGCCTTCTCCCAGTTCAGACATCCTATGGCTTTATAGGAAGGAAACAGCCAAGCCTGGCTTTGATGAACAGAGTTGCAACGACGCTCAGCAACACCACGCAGGAGGTGAGGGATTACAGCATGTGATATCAGAAATCACGCCTCAAGGCAGTACAACCATTGCAAAAGAGAAGTAAGAGGATATGATTAATTACTCTCTAACCTTTTCTTTCTTCTTCTTTCTTCCTGGCAGCTTCTTCCCTTTGCTTCCGAATGATGGCTAGTCGGGCAAGATCTGCCTTGGCTTGCTCTGTTTTACCAGCTAGGTGCATTTTCATGTATCTTTCTTTTGCCTTTTGTTTCTCTATTTCCTCTCTGTTTGAGTGAAACACACCAGTTGTTAGAACATGCAGGGAAGCATGCAGGTACAGATGTACTTTATAGAAGGCTTTCTGACTGGAATGGAAAGTGAGTGGAGAGACAGAATGCCTACCAAGGTTGTGGGACCCTGTCAGCACTTTTCAAGCACAAGTTATACCTGTTGTGGTGTTTGATGAGAGATGGAGAGAAGTAGGTTTTATACCTTCAGCTAAATAAGAGCACTGTTACACAATGAGGTCAAAGAAATTACCCCCAGACTGCATAGCATTATAACATTTTTTCCCCCTTAAAAGTACACCTTGAGATAATTCTGCTGAGGCCTATCCCAAATAATCCATCTTAAACAACCTATTTAAAACAAGCAACATTAAATTTTTCACTCTGAAACTCTCAATTGCTAAATTAAACTACAAGATTACACTTGGGCTTCTCTTCTTATTCACCAGCTCAAACTAAAATTGCACTATGACCTCAGGAACCTGGGAAATCAGTACCTGTCACTGGGGCACCTTCTGCAGCAGGATTAAAGAAGACCCAAGCTGACCTCAGGTTAATGAATTTTAGTTACATCAGATTTTTTGGCATAAAACTTCAGGAAAGAAATGGGCTGCATCTGCTTCACAGCAACAAATCTCACTCAGCACAAGTGGCTGAGCTGCCTATCTTTGGGATGGACACAGGGACAGACACAGAACAGACAACTTCAGTAAAGTTTGTAAGGAAAGGCAGTTTGAATGGCAGTGAATCCTGCCTGTTTGCTGCTGCAGGAGAAACTCACCGCTCTCGTCGTGAGAGTTCCTTGGGTCCATCCAGGTCCAGCTGAGTTACTTTTTTGGTTGTCTGAATTACACGATTGGGATTCTCTATGTCTATCAACCCTTCCACTCCTTTGCGCTTTTGCTAAGATTCAAGAAAAACAGGAAGGTTAAGAAACTCTGTAATACCCAAAATTATCTTGCACTGGAACTCACCAGACACACTGCAACACCCGCCACAAGTAGCATTCAAAGTGCTTTCACTACCAAACATAATCAAGATTTATACTATCAGATATCTTTAGTATCTTTTGAAATCTTCTCACCTTTGCATTTTACTTACAAAATACACAAATTATCACTTTCAGAACAAAATGCAGTCAAGAAAGTTTTTCTGGCTTCTAAAAATGGCCCTTCCATAAAAGATTTACCACAGATGGCTCTCAAACAGAACTCCAATTCAAGAATATGCATCTATCTCACACCCCAAGAATCCAGATAGTGAAAATGCATTAAGTGTCCTGAGAATTATAATACCTGATAATCTTCATCATCTTCATCGCTCTCATCTGAATCTAAAGACTTCTTGTCCTTTTTTGGGTCCCCTGTTGCTCCTTCACCTTCTTCTTGCTCCTCTTCTTCCTACAGAACCACACAAAATGAGATACAACATGTCAATACAAAACCCAAATCCCACCATGATTTTTAAATGAATCTTAATTTTGGAGGAGTGGCACACAGCTTTGAGAACACTGGTGCTCCAGACATGGCCCTTACAACACCAAGGGTGCCTTGCTCTTGCAGAACAAGAACTGCTTCTCAGCACAGTAAGTATCACCTGCCCCAGCAGATCTCCTCTAAACAACTCTGCTCTGTTCTCCCTATGTACCAGACTGGGAAAGTTATTGTAAGACAGAAGAGGCACTTTGCTTCCCCCAGATGAAGAATCTCCTGGATAATTTTGGCCTGGGTTTCCAGTGAACAGTATCTCAAGGACTGGAATCTGCAGGGATGGAGCTTACAGATGCACTAGATAAAAATTCTAGAAAAGAGCAAATTGCCAGCCACCAACCAAAAGAGTATTACCCAAAGAAGGCAGCCTCTTTAGCACAGCTTTTACTAAGCAGAATCTAGGAAATAATTTGTAAATCATTAGAAGATAAGATTAGAAGAACCAACAAGGGTGTGAATAGCTTGCTTTACCATTACCAAATATCCCTCAACAGAGCAATTGTCAAAGCAGATGAACCACAGGCAGAAAGAAGAGTAATTCTGTAAAGTTTTTATAAGCTTCCCCCAGTGAAACTGGGCTAGATGTAACCATCATTACATGGTATGGATGATCACAAAGAAAACAGCAAGAAATCCTTCTCATAAAGCATTCCTCCAAGGTTTTTTTATTTGCAGCAAGACAGACAGCTCATGGGGGTTCCTGCAGAGAGCTGGTTCTGTTCTGTTTCCAGTTGGCATTTTTATTAATAACTTGGAAACAGAGAAGTTAGTGAACTTAAAGTTGTGAATGACACAGTACAAGCAGGAGCTGGAATCAGTCTAGAAACAATCAGAATGATAAGTGACTTCTGTAGCTGGAAAGATGAAACCAAGAAGATGCAATCAGAAAACAAACCAAGAGGAGCTATATTTTGGAAGAAGACATCAAAGTTGGAGTATCTGGCTAAGCAGCAAACCACACAATTAAAACATCCAAAAGGAGCCAGCAATATAGCTCAAAACTGCTTGAAAGACTAATCTTTTTCTGGGATTTACTCATCAGTATTTCCTACACGGGGTATAATTATCCTGCTGCTGTCAGTGCTGTGAGGTTTCAGCTGGAAGAGTGTATTTGGGCTTAGGCAGCACTTTCAGAAAGTCACAGTAAAATAGCAGTGAGAGTGCCATCATAGCTGAGATAATTTGGCAACACAAGAGAGCAAGTTCTGCAAGAAGTAGTCATGCCTTTTCTAACACCAGTCCAGTAGCTGCAGGGGAGGGAGGACTGTGATCCTATGCCGGGGCACAGAAGTGCACAAAAAAGGAACTCAAGCCAGAAAATGCTATTACATCTTCCTACAAGTCAGAGCCACGGCAGAAAACCATGTGTACAGAAAGAAATCAGAAAAACTTAGGTAAGATCAGAAGAGAAAGAAAGCAAATATGGTAATTTCTGTATATGAAAAGAAGTCAAGATGTGAGCCTCTTTTCTCCATAGCCAAGCTGCAGAACAGGAATAAAAAAAGTGAGCTTACACTGGAGAATGATGAAATATTGAGGGAAAGGATGCCTAGAGCTGCTGTGTGATTGTTTTCCTTATCCTGCAACCTTCATAGCACTAACTGGATGACCAAACAGGACTCACTTCTGTGAGGAACTGGGCTGGACCACTCTTTGGGGTCTCCCCAGCCACAGGCATTCAGAATCCATGCTGTAATCACTGAATGATTAAGCTGACATTTCTCATGAACTGCAAATGAAGCATGCTGTACAAGGCAAGGCTTATAACAGTAAGTACATAATCAAGGCAAATACATACCCTTGCCTTTTGTTTTTCTGCTTGGAGCTGTGCATCAATCTCTTCAGGACTTGTGTACTGTCTCGCTCGGCCTTTATGGCCTCCTTTTCTACCTGTACAAACAGAAATAATTAAGAAAAATAAATTGTTTAGTGACAGGTTTTCAGGATGCTTAACTCCTCCTTCAGCACACACTCTAGCTTTTTGATGCACATAAGGAAAGCCAAAAGAGCTGCTCTGATAAAGAAACAAAGACACGTGGAAATTGCCTGTCTCAATGAAATACTCCAGGAATTTTGAATATATTACATAGAGAACAGGGATTACTATTTCACAGAAAGACATTCAGAGAATCAACTCCTTCTTCTCACTTGGAGGCATTGGAGCCTGTCTACACACCACCTCAACTACATGTAAGTTTGCCCTGCAGAGAGCAAGGCAGGAGGGGCTGCCCAAAGGGATTGCTGGTGAGCAGCTCTCAGCCCCAGCACTGCTCTCTGCATTTCCAACACAGCAGGAATTGCAGCGTGCTCCTGTGGCAGCAGCTGTTACAGCCAGCTACCCCAACAAGCTCGCCTCCTCAGCCCCTCCTCTGCACTGAGGCTGTGCCAAGAGAAAATAGGAAGCCAATTGGACAAAAGCTTCGGGAATGATAATGAGAACTGAGGCACTACTAAGAGGAGCCTCCATGTTTTACTGCTTTATAAGGAAAAATGAAAACAAGCTCTAGAAATCAGGAAGAGGGGAGAGCCAGCTTAGCTGGTCAGACTGCCATGCTAAGCTCTGCTCTCAACCCTATTACTGCTTTCTGCAAATTGCTGCTCCATTTATATTACAGCTCAAAATACCTGCTGGCAAAAGCCAGCTGGAGAGCTCAAGGCACAGCTGGTGCACAGGACTGGCAGAGAACAAACAGCTCAGATGAGGGAGCTCTGTTACTGCAGGTGCCAAACAGCAGGAAAGCCATGTGCTCCCTCCTCTCCCTCCCCACATCGCCTGCAAGGGACAAGGAAATCTCAAAGAGGTGCAGAAAGGAGAGCAGGACACACGGGAGAGATCCATCATGGCCACAATGCAGCATCACAGTCACGCCTGGATGTGTTTGCTGGACTTGGAAGGACAGGATGGATCAGTGCAGTGCCCCTAAAGCCTTGGCAGACTTTAGAAATCCAACATTTTCTGACCAGTTCTCCTAGCTCGACAAACTCTCATACACTGAGCTTGGTAAATGCTGAGCCATGAAATAAATCCTCTCCAAACCCTACTACAAAGCCTTGCAGACAAAGGATGTTTTCCTTGCATGAAATGAGGAAAGGTAGAAAACAGAATTCTCTGTATTGCTTTGGAAGCTCGTGGGTGCTCAAACCTTAAATGCAACCAAAGCTCTGCTGCAGCCCAACACCTGTGCTTTCAGCTCCCCTGCTCCCAGCCACACCATGTGGCACCAGCAACACGATGGGAACTGGAGCTGCCAGGAGACATTACATCACTGCCTGGCAAATGACATCACTCTAAAAGCAACAGCAGTGAGGTACTTGACACGCCACGCAGCACCACAAAAATCTAAACAGACCAAAGCAATGCTGTGCTACAAAGTTAACATATGCCAGGCACCCTCCTTGCTTAGCAGAAAGATTTTACACTGGGCTCAGAATTGAAGAATGCAGCAGTGTTATTTCTGTAAATATCCACGCAGTAGAGAAAAGCAGCTCCAGAAAAATTATCTTAAAAACAAACACTTGAAAAGAAATAAGCTGAATAAGCCCCCACTCCAGGCAAGCTGAGCGCAGGCCCCATGTCTGCCAGTGCAGGTCCATGCCCAGTTTCCCATTTGTAAAACAGGGCTGATGATTCTCATTCTCCTCTGCAAAGTGCTATTTGAATACAATAATCTGCAGATTTCGATTGCAGTAAAAATGCCTGATGTCTCAGGCATGTGTGTTGTAATAAATGTCCTCAGCTTCAAACAGCACGCTGAAGGAATTTTAATGGAAGAGAATGGAAAAACAGTGAAGGAATTACATTCATTCTGAAGCAAAGTGTTCAACAAATGAACAAAATAATCAGAAGTAATCCTGTATTACTATCTACCTGACCCCCCTCCCCCATTTTATATTAAATTGACTGCAGAAGTCCACATCTCTGCTACCAATAATATAATTACAATAACTCCTCCTAATTTTTTGGGTGAGAAAACGCAAAGATCCCTCTTTTCCCAAGAAGAAAAAGGTTGGAAAGAATCACCTTGAAACATACAATGAAACAGAGAGCAGAGGGAGCTCAGCTACACGGCATTTACACAAAGTAACCAGGTGTAAAACCCACCACAGCTATTTGCCTTCACAAAAATACAGGAAAGCTTCAGATCCACCTCCTAAGATCGTGCAGGTGAATACAAGACAAAGAGCTTGAAGAAAACATAAATAGGGAAGCAGGTTTCATGAAACTAAGGCTTGGGAAATGCTAATGGAATTAATTGGCGAAAACTACAGAGAAGATGATGAGGCCGGGCTTACATTCATGAATGTGCCTGGGATTTCATAAACGCTCACACAGGAGCCAATTATGCAGATGGTGCATCTGGAGAAGGTTCTGGGTGGATCCAGCTCAGACCTGACGGTGTCATTCCCTCATTACATCTCCTTAATCACAAGAACAAGTCGGTACCCGCTCCGCGGAGCCACAAGAAAGGAGCAGCGCTCGGAGCCCCCGATGCCGGGCCCAACCCCGCTGCCTCATGGGGTTGCTCCTGCCCGGCCGCTGCCGCGAGAGCACCGAGACGGGCGGGCTGCGGAGCCCCAAAGCTCGGCCAGAGCCCCAGAGTTCGTCCAGGCAGCACACGAGCTGCCTCTGCGTGGCTGCAAATCCCTCCTCAATAAAGACCTGAAAGCCGGGCGGGGGAGCGGGACCCTCAGTAATGTGGGGCGGGGGTGGGAAAAGAAAGGCCCGAGGAGCGGGGGGAGGACAGCTCTGTTCCTCCCCACCACCCCCAACCGACGTGAGGAGGGACGAAGCCCCTCGAGAGGCAACGAGGGGCGGTTCCGCGCCCCACGAGGCGGCGAGGAGCGGGATTCTCCCCCGCGAGATAAGGAGGGCCGGAGCCCCGTCCTGAAGTCAGTTAGGACGCGTTCTCCCCCCGCCGGGTACCGAGCGCCGCGCCGCGCCGCGCCGCCCCCCGCCCGGCCCCCACCTCCTTTCGGCATCGCGGCGATGGCGGTTGCGGCAGCTGCAGCGAGGCCCCCCCCGGCCCCAGCCACGACCCGGAAGCGGAAGTCGCCCCGCCCCCTGCCGTCCGCCCGCCCAGCCCTGCCGCCCGCGAGGCCCCGCCGCGGGGTGCCCCGACCCCGCCGCCCCTCCGCTCATCCACAGCGCGGAGCGAGGCCGCGCCCCTCCCGGCACGGAGTTCCCTGCTCTGACAGCAGAGGAGCAGGAGCTGAGGGTCGCAGGGCGGGGAGGGATTTTTTTTTTTTCTCAGGTAACGCCGCGGTCACCTCAGCGAGGCGGGCGGGGCGCGCTGCCGTGAGGCCCCGCGTGACGTCAGAGGCGGCGCGACGGAGAGCGGCGGCACTCGGTGGGTGAGCGGGACCGGCGCGTTCCGAGCTCTGCGTGCTGTTGTGCTGCTGCCGGCACGGCCTGAGCCGCTCCGGGCCTTTCGGGAGGGCTCTGCGAATCCTGGCGGCCGTCTGCCAGGCGTGGTTGGGGCTGGCGGAAGGTGGGGGGGAGGATCTGTGGTGGGGCGCGGTGGTTCTGCGCTCGCTGCGGGGCTCCCCGCGTCCTGAGGGTTGCGTTGGGTGACGGTGGGCATCGATAAAGCTCCTTTTTACATCTGAGAAGAGAATGGTGAAGGGGCACGGGAATCTTGGGAGAGATGGCCCTGACAGCTCTTTTCATTTCCTTTTTCCTGGTGTTTTCCAGGACTTTAAGGCTTCCAGGTACCTCCTTGTAAAGCTCCTTCGTTTCCAAGGCAATGCCCAAAGTGAAGCGCAGCAGGAAGCCGCCTCCAGACGGCTGGGAGCTGATCGAGCCTACGCTGGATGAGCTGGATCAGAAGATGAGAGAAGGTACACAGAAGAGCTGGGTGCTGTGAGGGCACCTCAAACGAGCTTTGGGACCTCCATGAATATAAAGTGGCATTTATTGTATCTGTGCCTGCAGCAATGGGGTAGAGGTGTTCTGGGGCACTCTGTGGCCAAGCTGACTGAAGCTCATTGGCATGTGTGGATGGGCTGGTAGTTCCTGTCCCCACTGGTCTGACAAGCCAGGGCATACACAGAATCGCCTTCCATCCTTGGCATCTTTCTGTTTTCATTTCCTCAAGGAGCCACATCACATTCTTCTGACACCCTGCTCTTAACTCTATAATCTATTAAAGTTAGGAATGTTCTTAGAACAATTTATTCTGAAGTGACTGAGGGAGTAAATTGGTAGCCTAGGAGAATTAGCTGGAATGTCATGTTTGTATTCCCTTCCAGCGGAGACTGAGCCTCACGAAGGGAAGAGGAAAGTAGAATCCCTTTGGCCTATCTTCAGAATTCACCATCAGAAAACACGTTACATCTTCGATCTCTTCTATAAAAGAAAAGCTATCAGCAGAGGTGAGAAACACAAGTTGGTTGGCACTGAATAAGGGAAAACAGGACACAGATGTCTGCCTGCAGAGGCTGGCATGCTGAAGAGAAGGATTAGCATTCTGGGTAGGAAGGGTGGAGGGAAGGCTGACATCTGTGCAGCTCTAACAGCTAGAAATTCCTTATACTGAGTCATCTTAACATCTAATGAGAGCTACTTGTGGTGTCTGCTTTCTACAGAGCTTTATGAATACTGCATCAAGGAAGGGTATGCTGATAAGAACCTGATTGCAAAGTGGAAGAAACAGGGTTATGAGAACCTTTGCTGCCTGCGGTGCATCCAGACACGGGACACCAACTTTGGAACCAACTGCATCTGCAGAGTGCCCAAAAGCAAGCTGGAAGTGGTAAGAAGTTTCACCTTGTTCTTGCCCTTCTGTCTGGACCTTTGCAGTAGCTGCTCTACCCTCACACAGATCAGGGACAGCAAAGGAGGCGGTGTTTTTTCTTTCTGGAAGCATCTTCAGCTCTAACACTTTCTGCCTTTTGCTAGTAGTTAACAGCTAGTTGCTTTTCAAGTAACTGTCAGCTTTGGCATGCAGTTGTTTACAGTTGTTAATGTACTAGAAACAACAAAAAACTAGACTGTAGATCCTGCATGAAAGTGCTTCTTCCAAAGGGCAGCCTCTGCTTTGAGGTTTATGCCTGCTGGCCTGCCTGCTCCCAATAGTTGGCCTGAAATATCCCTGTCATGTTTCTTTTCCAGGGGAGAATCATTGAATGCACTCACTGTGGATGCAGAGGCTGTTCTGGGTGAAAGAGACAGACTACCTTTTGAACTCTGAGCGATATCACCCAGCACGATGGACTAAGAGTGCAATTACAGCTACCTTCTGTGTGATTGGATATTTCTGTATTGCAATTAAAATGGCAAATTCACCTGGATCATACATACAAAGGATGTAGTTTTGGAGTAGCTTTTTGTGTAGCCGCTTATTTTAAAATAAAGACTGCCTTCCTGAGAGAGTGGGCCAATCTTTTGGCAAAACTGTACCCCTGTTGTGAAAGTGTTCAGTTTTTAAGACAACTCTATCTCCCATGAGACATTTTATATTTAACAAAATCCTATCATCTTTTTTCCTCAAATAAGGGAATTTAAAAGTTTATGGGGAAAGGAAACAGTACAGTTCTGCAGCAAGATCTCTTTTATTAGCAGTAAACTTCACTGGAGTTCTCTACTAAGGTTTTTAATCTTGAATTAGTGCAGCAATCTAGTTAGGAACACCAGCAGTCTAGGGACTTGCAGGACACATTTAGATGTTCAAATACACATAAGAATGCAGGAAAGACAAAACTAGCACTGAACTAAACCAGCGTTAAATTTTAATTTCTTTCTCCTTTGTCACAAGACTTGTTTAGCATAGAGTTTGCTAAACTACAGCCTATGTAGTTCTTTGCATTTAAGCAAATTCACTGACAGTATATTTGCTTCTCCTTAAAACAGGACAAATATTTTATTTAGTAGATCTCACAAGAACTTGAGTTCCTGGAACTACAACACAGCTTTACTACAAGGAGCAGTTTAAGGGTGCAAAGTCCAAGTTCTTCCAGCACATGCAGTATGCTGGACTCAGCCATCAGTTGGAGCATTGTGCCCTACCTGCCCCTGCACAGCCTCTTCTTTACTTTCATCTGTAGAACGTTTACCTGTTCTGTATTTTTCCCAGGGGTGGGGGGTCTCCTCTCCTGCCATTACTTTTAACCACCGGTAGTAGTAGCCACGGAAACCATCAATTTTCTCCAAGTATGGGTTCTTTGACTTATACTGCAAATAAAAATCCAACAAAACAAGCTTCTATTAGAACAGAGTTTATGTAATACCACAGCATGCAGTAGCTACAAGCTGCTACTTAATAAATAGCTATTGAGAAATCAGACAACACCACAGGAAAAAGATTAGGGCAGCCATTTACACTTCCCCTCCCATGCTGGCATTCTTCACCCTGCATCCAATCATGGCTACTCACCCGGTCAAACTTTGGAGGGTACTGAGCTGCAAATTCCAGCTGGCGTATGATAACTTCATTGGGGGGTACTTCACTATTCCTCATGTCTCGCAGGATCTCAGTGAGGTAGCTGTAATCCAGCTGCCTCACAGCAGCAGAAATAAGGGCACTGTAGATGAACTTGTTGGGAGTTACTCCAGACCTCTGAAACAACAAGGGTGGTTAAGCTGCCAATTAGCACAGGACTTCAAGAATGACCTGCACAGCAGCTTCCTACAGTGCCAGCCAACTCTTCCCATGAGCTTCTTCCTATCCCAGCATAGCTACAGGACAGAGGACCCAAACTGCCAGCAGTTGCTCTACAGCTGCATTTTTAGGGAATGAGAACTTGCCACAGAAACCTCAGCAGGTCTTTTTGGAAGCATTAATGCTTCACTGTCCTTGCCCCTTCCTGCAGTTTGAACCCTAAGCAGGGGATTTATTAATTATTTATATTACCTTCAAATCTGAGAGTAACTGCAGTCCATCTTTCTTTTGGTGGCAAGCAATTGCTAAGTTGCAAAACGTCTGGAGGTTAGGTGATATTCTCCTCTTTGCAAGAGCTGGCAGAAGGCTCTGTAAGATACAAATGTTGGCATCAATTTCCAAGAAGTTCCACCATAGTGCTAGTTAGTGAAAAACAGTGCAAGATTCTCACAGTTTATCTTGTGGACAGAGAAACAGGTCTCAGTGAAACACAGGCAGCACTGGAGGCCTAGGACAAGAAAACAGCAACATGGCTGGTTCCGAGTTCCTCACCTTTGCTCCTTCTAGGTCTCCACGTTTACTTTTCTTCCTTATTAAAGTGTTAAAGAACGTCACATCTACTTTCACTTTATGTTCATCAAGGAGTGCCAGCAAAGAGGATTCTGATGGGCTCTGGGGTTCCACCAGCTCCGCCAGTAAAGTAAATGTTTTTATGTCAGGTTCTGCATTGTCCTTTTTCATTTTATTCAAGAAACCCTCCACATCTCCCATCAAAGACAGTCTATCAGATGGTGTGGATACTGTCCCCAAGGAAACCACATCTGCATCAGCTATCTGTGAATCCAGCAGGTTGGGCAGGTTGCAGAAATGCAGCTTCTGGCTTAGATATGCTTGTTCCTGCTGCATCTCATCTTGGCCTCTCCTCATCAGTGCTCCAGTCCTGCTGTGACTTGCATTAGGGCTGTCAAGACCAGTTGGTACTGGTCTATTTTCAGCCTGATTCACATCTTTGTTTTGTTGCATAATCAGTTCTTCAGGCTGCACTGAACTTTCCTGAAATAACTGCTTTTCCATGGCTTCCACATCCAGCTGGACAACTGGTGCAGCCTCTTCTCCCTTCTTTCTCTGATTTTTCACCTTCTGCCTGCCAGGTGCAAGCCTTAGTTGAGGTGGGTTCTCATCAGTGGGTCTCAGCAATACTTTAGAAGCCACAGCTGGATCACCTATTCCACAGTCTCTTGCAGCACGCAGCATCAAATTGTAACTGTAGATATCAGCCTTTATTCCCAACTTAGTCATTTGTTTCCAAACCTGAAGAGGAAAAAGGAACATCAAACATACATAACAGCAAATAACAGGAGCATTTCTAGCAGACTGTAAGCATACTTACAGTGCATGATCTTACATTATCTACCTGCAGAAAAAGAAGTTTATAGCATGATGAGGTGAGATGCCAGTGGGCAGTGAACAGCCACCTCAAGCTAGTACAGCCCTGTGATGTCCTCGAGGGTTATCCAACATCTTACACAATGTCCTGAAGGATGTCTGATTTGTAGAACTTGCCCCAGGAGGAGCTGAGTACCTCATTTCATCAGCTCTGTGAAAGTGCTGCCCTCTGTACATTTTGGTGACAAGTGATAGTACAGAAGTGCTTTTTCCTTGCCATTTAGCACATAAAGACAAACCTGTAAGGCATATCGGAAGCCACTTTCACTGTCCTTTATGCAGCTCATTAGAAGGAAGCTGAAGGTCTCAGCTGTGGGAACATGGCCCTTGTGCACCATTTCCTAAAAAATAGGAGAGAGAACATCAGACTTCCCAGGTACTCAAACAGTCTGTCGCAGCTGCTGATGCCTGTAGCATCATTTTTGTACTTGAACTTGGTAAGTATTGAGATAATTTAATTGAATGAGACTAGAGGTCACTGAAATACAAATGCCTGGTCAGTAATTATCACTGCAAAAATGACTCCAATGTGATAATGCAATATTGCAACTTCCAAGAGCTTTAATTAGAACAGAACACACTCAATACAAGAAAAATCATATATTTACCTTCAGTACATCAAAACACATCCTGAGATCTGAGCACAGTGCACAGACTTTCAGCAACGCGTGGTAAGTGACCAGGTTCAACTCCTGGTTTTTGTCCTTCAGCTGCTGCCGTAGTTTGAGTGCACTCTGCAGGCCTGAGTCTTTCCATGGTGATTCAGCACAGGCATTGAACAGTGCTGTGTATGTGGGCTCAGTAGGAGTTAAGCCTCGCTTTTTCATCTGAGAAAAGAGAAGACATGGAACTAGCTTCTAGGAAGAGTTATTTCAACATTTGGTTTTAAGAGCTTCGGGCTAAGAAAAGGTGAACGTTAGCTCAAAGGCATTTTGGAGAGAAAATAACAAGACCAAATGCTAGAAAAAGATTTAGTAGCTGAGAGAACCTAATGAAGGCTTGAGAGAAGAGAGAACATAAACCTACATCATTGTAGAGTCTGAATGCCTTTTTCACGTAGCCAACCCTGCCACAGCCACCAATTAGAACAGTGTAATTGCTTTCTTCTGGCTTTACTCGCTCCTCCTTCAGCATCTGCACCTCAAACAGCTCCAGGGCCTCTGCCAGCTACAGAGAAAAGGAAAATCCATTATGAGGCAATAAGAGAATCAGTTACAATGGATATGAATAGTCTCAGCTGTAATCAGAAAACCTACTGAGCACAGAATTCCTCATAAATTCTTGTTTTGCTTCTTGTTGTAAAGATGATAACAAAGCATATAGGACAACAGAATCATTGAAGTTGGAAAAGGACTCTAAGATCAAGTCTTATCTGTCAGTCCCTCAGTGCCACATTCCCACAGCTCTCAAACACTTCCAGGGATGGTGACTCCACCACCTCCTTGGGCAGTCTGCTCCAATGCATTACCACCCTTTCCAAGAAGATATGTTTTCTAATATCCAACCTGATCCCCCCCTGGCACAACTTGAGGCCATCAGCTCTCATCCTATCACTGTTACCTGGGATCAGAGACCAACCCCCATCTCGCTACAACCTCCCTTCAGGTAGCAGAAAGCAATGAGGTTTCCTCAGAGTCCCTTTTTCTCCAGGCTGAACAATTCCAGTTGGTTTTAAGTAGTTCCCTGAACTGCTCCCCATAAGACTCATGCTCAAAACCCCTCACAGCTTCATTGCCCTTCTCTGGACACACTCCAGGGCCTCCATATCTTTTTTTGTGAGTGATTGGTCCAAAAACGAACACAGTCCTTAAGGTGTGACCTCAACAGTGTTGAGCAGAGGGTCAACCATAAAACAAAGGCAGGAGTAGGAAGGGGGGAGGATCTGCCCAGCACCAGAACCCAGCTGTTACACACAGCATCAGAGCACATCTTCCAATTACAACTTAAACCTCAGTCCAGCCCTGAGATGGTCAGGCAGAGGGACTCAATGATCTCTGCAAGCCCCTCCCAAGTGAACCGTTCTAATCCTAACACAAAAGCATTCATTCACATGGATCAAACGTCAGTAAATCCCAAATAAGCAAAGAGCAAACCTTGTCCTCCTTGATGAGGGCCTTGCACCTCAAGAAGTACCAGTACGGGGTGTTCCTGTGGCCGCGCCACAGCCTCCTTTCCTCTTCTTCCTCCCCATCCTCTTCAAACTTTAAGTTCCGAAACACTGATGTGGCTTTGTGGTAATATTTTCTAGAAGAGAACTTTGTAGACAACTTCCCGAACTCCACGCCCTCATCATCCTCATCATCCGCCTCCTCATCGCCCGCAGCTCTGGCGGGGCCTCCCGCTTCGCCTTCCTTC